CCAGCAGAAGGATGCCAGCCAGAGGCACGCCAAGGCCAGAGCTGATCTGAGACAGCATGATTCGACCTGCGTTTGGCATGCGCAGGGACAGAATATCCCCCATTTTGCCACCGAAAAGACCACCCAGAGAGTTGGCCACAGAAAAAACAGCCAGAAGCACTGCAGTGGTTTCATGTGAGAATCCGATCAGTTCAAGCCACAATGGTGCGAAGGCTAATGCCGCCCATGGGAAATTTCCCGCTAACCCTTGCGCCACAAATATCTGGAAAGTACGAATCTGACAAACGTGCTTTGCCTCTACCTGCATTGCTTTCAGACCGCTCCATAACCCTTGCTTCCTAGAATAAGAAGCACGACAATGCACAGATGTTAACACGATAAAGTTTTCAAAGCAACCTTGGCTTTTTAGAATAATATGAATAATACAAAGGATAACTATACATATAGAAAGCGCGCTGGGATTAAATTGTTTTGATCACCTCCTAAAAAGTCGAAGGTCAATCAATAGTGCTCATGATTCGGCGAATATGAAATTGGAGACCAGTAGTTTGCTTGATGATAATACCCCATTAGAATTCGACCCTTAAAATGCACATGATAGACTCCATTACTTACTGAGATGAAGGATGTCTTCCGGAAAATCTTGGATCAACTGCGAAATAGTAGACCATGACTGAAACTACAATGCTAACGACTGCCACAAGGTGGAAAGACAACCGCCATCCTGGGTAGCCATAAAAGACATGCCCAGCTAAAATCACAGAAAAAAACCCCCCCATGATGGATCCAATGTTGCCTGTCAATTGAAGCCACCCGAACGCTACACCTCTCTGATGCTCTACCGTTGAGTCTGCAACCAGGGACTTTATCGCAGGCACCACCATCGCTAAACAAATACCGTTCAGAGCCCGAGAAATTGCAACCTGTAATCATTGAGCACCTGCTTTTGTTATCTTAAGTGTAAGTTATTTATCAACTGAAATCCGCAAAACCAAGAATCAAGAAACTGGCTCAGTTCATCAGATTGAGTCCAATTCTAGCTCAGCATGCGACTCAGAGCTATTCAGGCGAAACCGCCATGTGGTCGCAATGGGGAGATTAATTTTAGCATGTACAATTCTCTCCTCTTGAAAATGATTTCGTATCCTGGTGATCCAACCGCTCATAACAGATGGAAACGCAAATTTCTGTGTGCGAATTAGGGACAAGCGCTACTCTAATTCCGCAGCTAATTAAGCTTGCAATAGCTAACAACAAAACTTGAGATGCTGCTGCCACTACGATATCATTTCATATAGATGGGCAAAGCTAGGAACCTGCGTGAATGAAGCAGGAATCCCGACAAAAAATATAGCCACGGCCCACAACACTGCCCCGAGCGCAATCACGTTCTTCCTGTTGTGGTTCAATGATGCGTAGGCCGCCAGCGGCGCAAAAATAGCTTGCATCAGAGATCTCACCAAAGTCAAAGATCCAAGCTTGGCGGGGGAGGCATGGAGCTCTAATCCTATCTCCCTGTACACTCCAGGAAGCAATGATTCATCTGCTCGCTCCATGATGGCGGCCAGATTCACCATCAGCAGAGTACGAGTAGCCCCATTATTCCACCACTCGAGACCCCTCATCTCTGTCGTGATTCCCACTACACCTCACTCCTGGAGTAAAATCGACTTGATTCAGCAGATGAGCAGAGCAGTTGTAAACATTAGGTTTTCATCTGCGGCGTTGAGGGTGTGAAACACTCTAGTATTGATAAGGAATTCAAACTCGTTCTGGTGAACGTGCACCACTTGAGCTGATTGGGAGAAGCGCCACATCCTGCAACCTTGATGATATCCAGCAAGCTACATAACTATTTTTCTCCAGCCAACCATGAGTTCGTCACCTCCAGGCCGCGGGAGCATGCCTAACCTTCCAGTGGGGATTAACACTTCAGTGTATGGGGTGGCAATGATTGTTTGAAACACTGGAAATTAGAATACAACCTGTGAACCAAACAGATAGTTTGGTATGAGAACAATTCAACCATGCACAGAAACCCATACGAATCGTTCCAATAAATCAGCTCTCACGAGAACAATGAGACCAGAGAGTGAACAGCATGCTTAACAGGATACTTGCGATGGAAGCTTCATCATCGCTCTCTGTGGCAAAACCAGATCACGATCGAAAGAGCTACACTAGTTGGCTGGGTTGGATTCCTGGGATGGTTGTCGAGGAAGCAGAACCCAGACGACCGAACAAAACGCCTGGAGGGATAAAATATGCTTCGACACGAATCGCAGATCGACAATATTTGCTCAGAGGAATAAGAGAGAGTAGAAAGCTGCGCTAAAAAGTGATAAAAACTTCCATCTTCGGAAAGCTGTACGAGAGAGAGACAGAGAAACGGAGCGGTAGAGCATTCGACCTGGGTCACCAGCTCAGATCTATTCACAACCATCCACATTTAAACCCCAGAAATAGTACAACGCAATGCTAACAGTATCCAAATCTCAAAATAGGGTCCACTTCAAAGATACAAAGGAAAAAGAGAAAAAAAATGACTTCAACGGACGTGGATGGAAAAACAAAACCCACAATTGTTTCGAGATCCTCTTCAAACCAAACCGTCGTCGTCACTGTCACACTCCAGCGAAGGACTACGGACAGATCTGTGTTTTGGGGTCTCCAGACTTCCCGAGACAGTGGCGACAAAGACCTCTATTGCCAACCGACGTGCAAGGCGGAGCAAAGACTGGCCCACACTCAGTGAGAGAAGGAATGGTTGCTCACGAGCACGTAGATCCTGGCGCGCGTTTGCTCTAAAGAAATCGACAAAAACAAGTAAATAACCAAAAACACTTTATGCTCCCATAATGATTCTCGACCCACGTTGGTCACTAACAGAAAAAGCGAAACAAAGGCTCCGATGTGATCGTTGGTGTTCGTGGGCTAAGCGATTGCATGCGCTTAAGCTTGACTTCAACACCCCCCCCCCCCATCAACTTCGCACGATCACAGCCGCACAGGAAGACCGGCTACACCCAGTCGGAAAAGCATAAGAAATTTGAAAAGGATCATAGCACTACCACCAATATCCAGTTGACTCCCTGTTAGTGTTGGAAATTTAAATGAAAGTTCTTCGATTCATTGGACGTGCTACAACTGACCCAAGTCTAGATAAACTTAATATCTCAGAATTTCCACTTAATAATTGACTCAGACTCAGGAATTGCCCTTTAAAATCGTCATGTGTTAAATTCATTACTATCACAATCCAGAGATAAAGAGGCTCAACCATATTAAGACACAACACTGGTTTGCCTTGCATTCGGAATGCCCATCTTTCAAATTTAATATTGAAATTACATAAAATTTTCTCCATAATGATTCTTAATTTCTTGAAGATCAAAATCATTCTGACCCGTTCTATCAATCATCCAGCACATTCAAGCGTAGTATACATAACGGTTGCTACCAAAATGCAAGATTTCTCAAAGAGTTGAAGTGAAAGTCATCAGCCTTTCTACACTTTGAAAACTGCACATTCTGAAATTGGCTCAGCAAGTTGGTGTCCGTGGAATACGATGCAAGTTGCAATATGACTCAAGTAGAGCTGGTAATCAAGAGAGAAGAATCCTACAGTAAGTCCCATCAACGTGGTCTAAGACTCGGCTAAGTTTACAGCTTTGAAAATAACAGACCTCAAAGATGTCTCCAGAGTGAAACTCCAGACTTCCAAGGTTCTAGCTACTTTTCGATAATCCGTTACCAGCCTCCCAAGCCTCCTCATTTCGAGGAACAATAATTCCGTAAACCCCGTGGGTTCGCTTGTAAAGGATGTTGATCTCCCCTGCATACGCCAATTTGAAGCCATCAACACACAAGGATGTATTTCGCAGAGGAAACACAATACAAACTTTTGACACACCTACTTCGTGACAATCGAGACTAACTGAGATTACCCCTTATCCATATAGAAGTGCAGTGTCAGTATTCTCCTTAAACTATGCAATTTTTGTTCCAGTAATGCATCATACGAGGAAGAACAACTCACCACTTTCGACATTGCGGTAGGCGAAGAAATTATGGCCAACATTGACCAATTGCTCGAGAGCTTCGAGTGGTTTCATAGGACGCATTTCAAAGTACTTCGTGCGAACGATCTGCAATAAAATGTTAGGCAAGTCCTACAGTCAAGTTTATGATTATCCAGAAATAAAGAGTTTGATAATACAGCAGTTACATATTCAAATTAAGTTCAATAAGGCACTGAAGTTGCTCAGATTCCCGATGTGTATCACTATTGTTTTAAAACATTTAATCTGGTAATTGTTTTAAAACATTTAATCTGGTAATTGTTTTTAAAAAATAGTGACTTGTGTATGTATTTTATTTATTTATTTAGTTATTTATTTATTTATTTATTTTCAAAAAGAAAAATCTTTTATGAGATAATTTTTGGTGGTAAAACATGGATCCATTATAAAATAATAGTTTTGAGACTATGGTGTAGAAAAAGTTGAATGGACTAAGATAAAGAGAAGGAGATTTTGGAAATTTTATATATATATATATATATATATCTAACTAAGTGTTATTGTAGCATGTTTAAAGTTTAATTTAATTTATGCATGAAAAAAAAAATCTTATTATGTTTGAAGTTTATGAATGCAGTAAACAAATATTATTGGATGTGTTAAAAATGGTCACATTTCTAAGATTACATGTATCATCTAAGATTCATTTATTTATTTATATATTCATTCTAGTTTTTTGTATATTTTTTTACTATTTAATGAAGAAGTTTGAAATGCTACATCATTTAAAACTGAAAACTTGATAACCAATGAAGTTGAATTTTCTTACTTCTTTATATACTTCATTTCACACACATGTACAGTGACAAACAAAACCGAGTACAAAATCTGAAGTACCAACTTTCAAGAGCAATTACAGAAATTTCAATGATTGCTTAATAAATCTGAAAGTTACATGGAATAATACACACAGTCTTATACACATGTACAAAGTTGCACATCAAATTGATAACTAAACATCCTTCTACAAAGTCAAATCAACAACTATGTCTTGTACTCAGTATTGTTCAAAGAAAATCTTCAAACTTCAATATTTAGTCCAATAACCTTTTGCTTCCCAAACAACTGAAATCCTTCTTGGCATACTTATGTATAGTTTCTCACAATCTTTTGCATCAAAACTAGGATAAATACTACAAACATTCTCCCACAATTCTTGAACACCTCTTGGCCTTGGAGTGACTTGGCTTAAATGTTGTTTGAGAAGGGCCCAAAAATGTTCCATTGGATTCAAATCTGGAGATTGAGCTGGCCATTAAAGGAGCTGAAATGGCTGTGAAGAGAGCCAAAACTAAACACTTTTTGTCGTATGTTTGGGATCATTATCATGTTGAAAAACCACCTTAGTAGGATCTAAGTTGTAATTCTGTGTGGTACTTTGCAAGTAGGTTTCTAAAATTTTTTTGTACAAGTGTTGCTCCATTCTACCTTCAATTTGATACCAAGCACCCGGCCCAAAAGCAGTCATACAACCCCAAATCATAATTGAACCACCACCATGTTTGACAGTTTGACTAACATGTTTAGGTCCAGGTCGTTCTCCTTCTCTCAACCAACACCAAGACCTACCATCTGAGTTGATTAGGTTAATCTTTGTCTCATCATTGAAAATAACCCGTCTCCAATCATCAACGGTTCAATTTTTGTATTTATGAGCAAAACTCAACCTTGCAAGAACATGTCTTTTGGCAAGTAGAGGCTTCTTTTGTTGCACACAAGCACCTAAACCAGCTTCTCTCAAACCACGCCTCAAGGTGATGTCTGAGAAGTGTTTACCTGTTTTTTCTCGAAGTTGTTTTGCAACTGCACTTGCCGTTTTGAGACAACCAACAGTGACAAGGTGCACACCAAGTCGCTTCTCTTGCTCTCCTAAAACCTTTGGACGTCCTCTTCTTTGCTTTTCTATTTCACCACTAATCTCCCTCCTCAGATGAGCTACTGAAGACTCACTCATTCCAAGTGAGTCTGCAACTTTTCTTGTAGAAACACCACTCCTAAGCTGCACCAATGCTTGGTGCTTCAATGATTCACACAACTGAGGCATAGAGATACAATTGACAAATCAACTTTCACTATAGATAGTACACAACAAGAGCAACACAACAAACAAAAAATGCCCTCAAATCTTGCAACAAGGAGTGTACATTGAAATTTCGAAATTCAGCAAGAAGAAGCAACCAAAACTGAGTACGCACGTCTGTGTGCTTCTACAACACTTTTCTCATAAACCCTACCTCAAATGATAATGAGATTTTTCATCCATGTAGAGGACTGGATGAATACACACAATAAAAAAGTAATTCTATCAATTGACTTATGTGTCAGTTGGAAGGATCAATGAACTATGAGTGTTCAGATTTTGTACTCGGTTTTGTTTGTCACTGTATATTCCTAGTTGTTTTTTTTCTGAATTTATTCAACCTATTTTTCATTTATTTACGTGTACAAGTGGATAGAGATATACTAATTATAAGCCTTAATTGTCAGGTCTTTTGAGTCAGAGAAAACCAAATTAACCCATGTTATGACTTCTTTCTTTCTTTCTTCAATGTAAAGTTTAAATTTGGATTATTTGAAACAATAACTCAAATTTCAAAACATGTGATCAAAAATTATGACTTAAATGGCATGTTTGTGCTTGAATGATCATCCACTTATATTTTTAATTAACAGCCAGTCGACATTCAGATATTCCATGGATTAATTTAAATAATCTATCTAAGGGTGCTTGGATATTTTTAAAACTTTGATTATGCTGTAAAAACCATGGAATGTTTATACAAGGAAATAAATTTCAACACATACTATTGTTTGGATTGTTTAAATTTTTCAAAATTGATGATGTTTGCCATAGCAGAAGCTGTTAAAAGATTTATATAAATTTAGAAATTCCAGGCTGGCTGTCCTGCACTGTTAATCTTGGTAATTCAAATGTTTTACAATATGTCACTACAAAAAAATTACTCATTAATGTTGGAAAGAGAATGCTTACAGTTATCCTTATTTATCACAAATAATACAACCATTCAACTAACATTTTTGAATCTTGAAGAATTCAGAAATATTATCATCATAAACTTTCATTGTATGTATATATGTATGTACACGACCATAACATTTTGAAATGTTTATTCTACATAACACAGGGACCAAACCGATTGGAGTTTCAAAAGCAACTCATGCTACTTCAATAAATAAAATCCATATTTAAGGTTTGCAATCAAGGCAATCATGTGCATATATCTATATAATAACAGAATTGTGTCCTCCGTTCTGTTTGGCAATCCTTTTATATGTTTATATATATTCACACACACACACACAGTCTGTTTTTTCTTTTTTTAATAAATTGAGTTAATAGAGTCTCCTGTTTTTATTTTATTTTGATTCTTTTGGAACAGCAGGGGTAAACTCTGTGCAAGGGTGAATCAGGCATCAGACTAAAAACATTAATATCTACTTTCCAAAAAAACAATGCATTCTAACTGTGTGATATGACATGGAAGTGACAACACTCAATATATATATATATATATATATATATTTATTTATTTTGAAATAAACCTATTCCAAAATACTCAACCCAAAGGCAAATATGGATGCATGACATTGAATTTCTCATAATATAATGAAGAAAGAATTGTGTACAAGCTTAACTATATACTACTAATTCAGTGTGAGAAATAGAGGATCACACGTGGCTGTTCTTAATGGCACCTAGGTTCCTCCACGCATGCCACCTCAGCTGAAGCTCTTGTCCTACCCACTTGGCGTAGTCCACGTGGGTGACAGCTCACTCGCCAAGTGTCGCCGCTTTTCGTCGGTGCCGTTCTCCGGGACTACTTTCTGAAGTCTCTCCGTCTCTGCCCATTCAATCAACGTTCCTGCCCCGAATCCTCTTCCACTTTTCTAGTAATTGAGCTTCACTCCATGCCTTCCTAATCGCATCGCGCACAATTTTGGAGCAAATCTCGGCGTTTCGCAGACTTACAAGTCGGTTTTCTCATCTGCAAGTTGAGCTAGTCGGAGCTGGGTGTGTGTGGTGACCAGCGGTATGTGGTGAATTTGAGCACGTTCTTTTGTGCATGCTGTGGGTAGATTTCCGTGGCAGAAATTGCTTTCGCGGTTATGGATCTATCCACTTCGCGAGCAGCGCAGTGTCTTGTATCTTGGACGTGGAATAGCTTTTATTCAGATGGCATTGTGTGGCGATAAGTGTGAATTTTGGTGCGGGGAAATATGACTGTGATTCTTGACCAAGATTGATGTAGAGGAAGAATCCTTACGAGACTATGTTGGATGAAATGGTGAGATTTTGAGATTGGTGTGCTGTTCGGTGAGTGCAGATACGCTTCAATTGGAGTTTTAGGGCTTTGCAGCTATGGCAGGGGTCGTAATTAGAGTTTGCACAACCTGGGGCAGAGTTTTTTCTTTAATGCCGAGGCAAGCCGTAGGCGCTGTGATATACAGCAATGTGGACGCAGCTCGGGGAGTGGGGCCGGTAAAAGGCGCTGAAAATGACCCTGCAACTCGAGGGAATGCCCCTGACGACAGACGTGCCGGTGATATACATATCGCGGAGCCTAAGGAGATTACAAAGAAGAAAGTGGCCGAGGTATCGGGGGAGCCTGAAGGCCTTCAGGTAGGTTTAGAATTTGAAATTTATGTAATTAGATGTTGTCGTCAATTCTGTCCATTTTACACTGGCTTGAGCTGCTGGAATCTAAGTGGTCTTTCTTCCAGTTTATATCCTAGAACAGAATGTGTAGCTGGTGGACTCCTTCTGCCGTATCACCTTTCTCAGTTTTGTTGAAAAGCTTCCTCAAGCCAAGCCCGTAAGACAAATTCTGAGGGAACATCCTCATGTGGAAGGTAATGAATCATTTTTTTCTGAAATGGATCGACAATTTGCAATTCAACATACTAAGATGCACATTTAAATGACCTCTCTTAGTGCAGTGAGTGGTAAAATTCTGCACTGACCAAGTTCTGTGCTGCCTAAATCCTGAAATAAACATGTCGGCAGTTAATATCTATCTTCCTCTCTCTCTCTACTACATATATACACACACACGCCAACATCACCAATGAACTATTATTTGCAGCTACCCAAATACTTTTTGATTTTTACTACCAACCACCAGAATCGTTAACCCAGAAGTTTATTTTAACCGCAAGAAATGGTTCTGCTGCTGCCCTTTTGTCTCAAGATAACCAACATTCTTTTCCATTTTGAAAGACAGTAACTTTCTTTTCTGGTTTACGTGCAGTCTAAGGGTTTCAAATCTTAAGTTACAAGATTATAACTATTCCATCTTCTTGGTATAGTGCTCCTTTCTGCTCCGTCAGTTAACGTCGTTTATTCTTTGATTCTAATCAGAACAATATTTGCATGATTCACATACCAATCCTAGCACTGTCCAGTTCTGTTTTGTAAAGAAGTCCTAGATATGTAGTGAGAAAAAATATTTATCTGCTCCACCCGAGCTCTTTTTTGTTGCCCAAATTCTCAATTTTATACAATTGTAGTATTGTGGTTGTATAGGTGGTTTTTGATGTGTTGTGTATACATTTCAAATCTAATATTGTAGATAAATGTCATCTTTGGAATCATCATTCATGAAAACAAGTTTTATTTTTAAAAATATATTATAAGATTTAAAAATAAAAAAGGAATTATATTGTAAGTGATAAATAAGAATTTTTGACAATCTCAATTTTTTTAGATTGGAATGTTGCATAAACACTATAGTTATAATCTTTATTTAGTAGTTTTAATATTTATGTGATAAATTGTATAGAGGTAATGTATCATTACTTGAATTCATTGTCTTTGGAAATTTCCAGTAAATTAATACATAAAAAAACATTTGGAATTGCTCAAATTCTTCGTTTGGAGATACATTTGCTATAGAATTAATTTTTTGTGGTTGACTTTAGAAGTAGTTTTTCTTATTTAATCCTAATATGAAATAAGTTTGAATTATACGATGAAGCATTTTAAAATGACACATCTTAAATCAAATAAATATAAGTTTTTGTAAGATTAATTAATAATTACTATTCTTATGTTATTTTATAAAAAAGAAGAAAGAAAGTATGTACATTTAAAAAAAAAAAAAAAAAAAAAAAAAAAACTAGAATAGCTATAATCAAAGACTAAAAAACTAAAGACTCTTGAAACTAGATTTGAAGCAAGAAAGGAATTAACAAGAATAAGGAAGGTCTTACTATGGCTTCTATATATATTATCTAACTAGAAACTATGTGGCAATATTCTATATGACCTCCATGTATTCAACTTGTAAGACACATGTTTAATTTCTAAAGCAAGTTCCTTATATGTCTGCTACATATCCAACTTGTACCATAAGTGGCCAACATAAGCAACATTTGGTTGACTTGTTGATTAAATTTTCAACCTATCAAACACCTATAAATACATATAAAAGAAAATCTATGACGCTTCTTTACAAGATATTATCAAATTTATCTAATTTTATATATTTCTACCTATTTAGATTACGTAAATAAATATTGAAATAAATATGTCTATGATACTTTGACATAATAAAATTTATTTTTATAAATATCATAATATTTTTTTTAAAGTGAATATTTAAAAATTACCAAGTATCAATCTAACAAATATTCTACTTTAGCCATGAATGTTATTGTGAACCATGGTAATGTCAATTAAATCTAAGTAACATTTTATTGGATATAAATATTAAATCACACTAAACTGCACCTTTCATCCTTATAAAGTCTGTTGATCATAGGTGGGTTTGGAATGTATTTGGAGTGTATTTAAAATCTTTCACATGACAAACATATGGTTTTATGCAAGAGTGGTTTAAGTAAGGTCTATGGGTTGCTTAAAGGGGATGACATAGTTTATAGTATTTTGACGTTATTTCAAAGTCTTCTATGTCACTAGAAGAGCACGTTTTTGTCTTCGAACAAACTTTTGGACCATAGACAATAACACATTTTCTATTGTTCTTTTTGACACATTTGTCTGCTTCTAGTATGCCATTTGGTGTCTGCAAGTGGGTTGGTTTCACAAATGGGCCTGGTGCTATTCACCATGTAGCCATGAGCAGGAGCCTCTTCTAAGATGGTTACGAGAGAGAGAGAGAGAGAGAGAGAGAGAGCCTGGATGGATTGAGCATCTGATTGTGATGAAGCATGGAAGATCTGAACCATCTTACTTGTTCAGTCCCAAATAGTATTCAGTGGATCTCAAACAAAATTTGATGTAATATGTGGAGAATTTTTCACTACCTGCCGCTCATGCCAATCCCATCCTTCACCATCTCCACAAGGCCAAGTCACCAAAAGTATATGTCATACCAATCTTCTTGTGCTTGATATTATTAGGTGTATAGAATCAGGAAAACAAGAATTGAACTTTGTTTTCAAATTAAGTAAGTAAAAATAAAGAAATAAAAGAAGAAAACTTAAGCCTACCTTGATTCTCTATGATTTTTTGATTCTCTTATTCTTTCCACCTCATTTTGTGGACTATATGCATTATGGGAATGAGCAGAAAGTGAGCAAAAAATATGTCGTAGAGGAAAATGTTAAAGAAAAATATCACATTGACTTAAGCATATTGGACCATAGATGGCAAACAAGAAAGGAATTGGTGCAATGATCAGAGAGATTGAGGTGAAGACGTTAGTAGCAAATAGGGTTGTAAGTAAGGAGGCTGAGGTAAAAAAAAGTGGTGCCTAATGGACCTACCAATAAGTAGGCCTTTCAGAAGGTAGAAGAGGAGCAAAGAGTGAAGTTGGCTAAGCAGAGGAAGGCAGAGGAAGAGTGGTTGCTGAAACTCATCTAAAAAGAGGACAATCAAAGAAAACGTATCCAGGTTTAGAATGTCCTTTGCATTATAAATGCAGGTTTAATTGTACTATACTTATGACTTTCTACTTGATTAAATACGTTCTTAGTTATACTTTTAGAAAAGTCAAGACTACGAGAAGTCCAATCTATTTTAGGATTATATTTTTTTAGCCATGATAAACCTAAAATGACTAGATTAAAGGGAGATCTATTGATATTAAATATTACAAAGCTACTATGACCATTAGTTGCTACTTCTATAGGAAGGATTTCATGAGTAACATCTCTTAAAGACAACGGACAATCATCTATGACTTCTACATGAATAGGTTTAGTTTTCTTCATTAAAAGTATGCTATGTCTTTTAGTAAATTCTTCATCTAAGAAACATGTTGAGGCTCCTAAATCTAGTAAGGTAGAGACTTTGTGATGTTTAGGTCTTAGAATAACATTTATCATAAAACACGGAGAGGGTTTTGAGGAGAAAATAGGACCTTCACTAGGTGTTGTACAAGGTTCTAGCCGCTTGGTTCCTATTGTAGCTAAACAAATTCATTTTCTGACATGCTATCTTCTTTGATTGCGGTACTCCTCATTTTATGGTTGTGTCGCTTCTTTGGACAATATTTAGTAGTATGCTTAGATTCTCTACAATATAAGTACAACCCTTCATGATGACAACAAGTCTTTTTTTGCTCAATAAGAGGTTTAAAACGTACTGCATTAAATTATATATCTTCTACTTTTGAATGTATGTATTGAAAAGATGGTATTGCCATTGAATTATAGTAATGTTGAGATCCACTTGTACGGTTCTCAGATCAAAATTCAAAAAGATGATTGTTGCATTTCACAGCAAAGTCAATTGCTTAACTCAATGTTTGAAGATCAGGTAAGTTGAGCATTAATTTTTTTACCTCATATTGTAATCTGTAGAGAAATTGGCTAATAAGTGCAGCATCATCCCACTTAATATCAGTTGGAAGTTGTCAAAATTGTGAAGCATACAATGTTACTGATTGATTACCTTCTCATAAAGTATAGATCTTATTGGTTGCAACACAAATTGCATCATGTTCTCCATATATGGATCAAAACTCTGTCAAAAAAGCCTCTAGATTATCTAATATTGGATCTCGTCATTCAAGAAAAGATGAAAACTATGATAATGCTGAACCTGAAAGAAGCATACCAATGAATCTAACTTGTAATCCTAGAGTTGGATAGCTTTGGAGTTGAAGTTCAATCATAAGTTGTACTTGATCGATAAATCTTCTAAACTTTAATCTCGTGCCATCAAACTTCTCGGATAGGATAATTCTTGGTTCTCTAACACTGGAAGGGCATTCTACCATTCAAGAAGGGACATGATTTGGTACAGAGTTGAAGCAGCTCCAATCATTTCTATATCTTCACTTCTTGCCAATCTTGTTGCTCTTCGTGGAGGTAAATTGAGTTGATGCATCGCAAGCATTAATTTCCTCAATTGCTCTTGCATTTGTACCATTGCATTCTTCTTTCAGCAAGTTCTGCCATGATAACACTTAGAAAAGAGAAGATGTCTAATATTGCTCAAGGCAAATAAAAGAAAGGACTTGAGAACAAAGAAAATACTAAAGACAATATCAGTTTAAAAGAAGATAATCCACAACTTCTAATATGCTTATGTCATATCAAGAAAAAGGGATAATCCACTCTTAATGAAGATTAGACAAAGCTCTGATATTGTAAGTATATTCTTGTAAATTTGTCAAGGAGAAGAACATGATAAAAAAAATAAAAAAATAAGACTTCTCTCAAAGAAAGATGACAAAATAGAAATAACTTGATATGTATATTAAGAAAGAAATTAGAATGGCTATTGCCAAAAGCTAAGAAAACTAGAGACCCTTAAAATTAATCTAGAAGGAAGAAAAGAGTTGAGAAGAGTGAAGAAAGCTTCACTCTTGTCTCTATATATACTATCTAACTAGAAGCTATGTGGCGATGTTCTGTAGGACCTTCAATATGTATTGACTTTATACAACACAAGGCTTGACTTACAAGGTAAGTTTTTATATGTGTGGGCCACATAGTTAGCTTGGTCTTTAAGCTAAAAACATGTGTGGTACATGGCCAACTTGTTGACCACATTTCTAATCCAAAAAATCAATTAAAGACACCTATAAAATCAATGCAGCGTC